AGCAAGCCTGCCTTTTTGTCCTGAAGTTCGCTTTCAATGAAGGGTGGAGGCCTGGGATACACTTCAATAGAGATGGAAACTTGTAGTAAAGGGGCTGGCTTGACCACTTGTAAAGTTAGGGTCTCACCACTTCCACACTGCCAAAGCCAGCTCTGCTGACCTAAGACTTCTGTGGCACAATAAGGTGGACTCTTGGGAAAGTCCCCAAAATACTTTTTTTTGTCTTTGGTACTGGCCACAGTCTAATTGTACTGGGTGTCCATGATCCAAACTAGATAGAGTGGCTCCTCCTTAGGTTTCCTTGTGTTGGATCTGAGCTTCAAGCTGAATCGCAACAGTGCAGAATAAATGAATAACTAAGCCTGTGCATTTGGAGGAAATGAGTTGAGCAGAGGCTTAGATAATTTAGCCACCCATCAAAGGTGATTTCAGAAGTGTGTTGGGCGGTTCCCATGACACCATCCCATCCACAACCATAGGTGTGATTATGAGTGGAAAAGGAACTTTTCGGGGGGGGGGGCAATACAGCAGAAAAGGCCATAGTGGACTAGACTCCTTATGGCAGTGTCAATGTGCCTGTGTAGAGGACAGACTGTACAAGTTAAAATGGGCAAAAACAAAATTCTGTGGTGCCTTGAGGGTTAGCTGCTTCTAGTTTTAAATAGTGGCACCAGCTTTCCAAAGTGCTCCATCTGTATTGCTTTATTTTTGAGATGTTGTGTAGGATGCTTTTGCAGTGAAGTAAGGATTAGTCAGTGTGTGTTTCATTAGAGGATTTTTCTCAAAAAGCTTCCGAAAATGTTTTCAGTTTCTGCTTTTATCTATGGGGACGGCTGGTTTGAAAGAACTTTTTTTTATGTTTGAAAAGGAAGAACTCTGTTTAGATCACTTGGCAAAAAAAACTTTAGGCAAGTTTATTCATCAAATATTAATGAAAGACTCCCTCACCTACGAATTTTTGTTGTTCCATGAACTTTGTTATATATTCAGAGCACTTAAGAGCAACTTGTTCTCATAATTCTGAAGATCAAATTACACACAGTGGTAACACCATAAATATTTTCAGGCGCATAAAATGATATTGTTGTCACTATAATTTGGGTACAGTATAGACTAATGATGTTTTGAGTAGCACTGGGGAAGTTCAGGACAATTAAAGAATTACAACACCTTCTCAATGGAGGCATTGATACAGACATGGAGGGGTTAACCAAGCAGCATGGCTTTTTTTTAGCTAAGCTTATCAGCATGGTCTTTAATTAGCAACCCAACACACAGCACTCTATCAACGGCTAGTTAGGTACCATTAATAGCTTGAAGTCCCTTAGATACCTGGATTAATTAATTAAATAATTAACTGTGGAATGAAGCTATTTAAAGTTTTAGTTGAGTCTGAACTTCTTGAGTATGAGGGCATAAGTTGATTGTAACGGTACAAAAATGCAGTTTAAATGATGCCTAGTTTAAGTCTAGGGCTGCTGTTGTTTATGGTGCTTATTTGAGAATAAATTCTTCTAAAATTACAAAGGCTTAAACTTGCACACATAGATGGCCAGGCTGTAAGATTACAATCCTCTTTAGTTAGTGATACTGAAATCAATAGGACTTTCATTAACATGTTCAGGGAATCTAGACGTCTTTCAGAAATTAGCATTTTTTATTGTAATTCCGAAACCATGGGGTGTTTATAGTGTCTACTAATTTGATTTTCAAGAATTATGAGAACAGTCCTTTGGTGTGACACTGAACATTTTAGGGCTGTAAAATGTTCAGGCGCATAAGATAGCACTTGAAGAACGTGCTCCCAGTATTTATTAAATTACTTTTAATTAGAAAGGAAAGTTTAACTTTCCTTGTAGTCACAAAATACATCAGTGAGCACTTGGGAGTTTTAACTGTTAGTTGTGGCAGTCAACTAGTGCTTTAAAATCTGTGATTTTAAATGACTGTGAAATTGTGCAGGGATTTCAGTGGAATTTACTGCTAAACAATTGTGTAGAGGACTAAAGGCTGTGCATTGATATATATTGTTTAATTGTTCAAAGATGCTTTTCTTTTGTTAAAATTTAGTAAGCAAAATAGTTATGTCTAAAATGTTAATACTGTATACGAAACACCAAGTTGATATAAGTGGCTACGAAATAGATGCCTGAAATATAGTTTAACTAAATGTTTAATCTACCTTATTACTTTGGTTAACAGTTTAATAAAGATAATAATAATAATAATAAGCTTTAAACTGCAGAGCTGGAAGGGATCCTATGGATCATTGAGCCCAGCCCTTGTCAATGAGGCACTCTGGGGAATCTTTAAGAGATATTATGGAGCTATGTACATGATACATGAGCAGAAAGTGCTTCATGGTCATATTTAATGGCAATCTTCATCATCAAAGTGTAGACCTTTTTGTATTTATTGTATTTCCTTACTGAAGTATAAGTCAGAAAATAATGCTGCTAGTAGGAGTACATATAAGTAGCAGATAAATTTGTTCCTATTATTACCATTTTTAACCAATTTTCTTGCTATAATGCAGGAATGTACTCTATATTTTGCTGAAGTGGTACAAAAGCCCCCACATAGTTCACTATTTCTTGGTTGTTTTTAGATATTCTGGAAGATATACTTGGTGTGAAATATACATGGGCATTTTACTATTTGAATGAATATTGATGGAAAATGTATCAAGCTAATTAATATGTCTGGCTTTGGGTAATGAAAATCATGTTAGTTCATTCTATGGTTTTGTAAAGTTTTATTTTCCATATAATGCCATATTTTAGATATACTTTCTCATTAATACTGTCCCACTGATTCTCGTGTCTCAAAACTACTGGTGACTTATAATACATTGATATATTTATATAAATCTGTATTATTAAATAGAAAAAAATATAAAACATTGACACCATTGCTATGACTGTACATACACACAGCAGGAATAGACATGTTTCTAAATGCTATTGCTTAGATTTAAATTGCATTTTACATTTATTATTTACATTTTGAAAATTCATTAGTATGAAATAAAGATAAAAATATGTTTTGTATTAAAAATTTACTACTGTGCTGAATGCAGTACCAAACATCCTTGCCATTTGCCCAGTACATTCTTTTCTAAACTAAGTCATTTGCATTTCATGTTATTCAGCCAGCTATTCTGCATTAATTTCTTCTTTAATTATTTTTCAACTAAATTAATTTCAATGTGTCTTTCCTATTCAGTCTCAGTGTAAAATTTTTAATTTTTAATAGGTTAACATGAGTTTTTGTTTCTTCTTTCAGTAATATTGTTGGACTCTAAAGCACAACAGACAGAGTTGGAATGGATTTCTTCTCCTCCTAACGGGGTAAGTATATAGTAAATATCAAATTAGATAGAATAATTCCCAGAAATAATAATTGTGGTTAAAATCAACCCTCTTCCCCAATTCTTCCCAGCAAATTTATATAATCATTCTTTGGAAAACTTCCTTTGTGAAAAATGGTGTAACTCAAATGAAAATTAGTTACAAGAAAGTATCTTCTCATTTCCCAAACATTTTTATTTGTGGTTAAACCACAATTTTTAGTTTTCATATGAAATAATGCTACTTCTAATGTTTTTGTTTTTATAGAAAACATTGCAGCCCAAAATTATTTGGAAAGGAGGAGTTCGACTGATAGATATATATAAACCAAATGTGTCATATAAAACAAATGTCTCACTATATACCTGCTGTAGTTTAAGTGTTTCCAAAGCATCAGAAACATAGGGACATATACAGTAGAGAGAGAACCAAATCCAAATTTCCAGCTTTTAAAAACTCGTGTAAAACTTGTGGATTGAAATATGACATTTGCTGTCACTAAAGTAGCAATTTATACATTTATTTTATCTTAACAAGCTTATCCTTGTGCATTTTGATATGACACTGAGATATATAATTATTATAAAATTGGGTCATTATGCTTCACATTTGGAGCCTATTCAGTCTTGATGTTTTCAGTTTATAATTTGAAATACATGAAATGTCAATCAAGTGTTTCGTCTTTTAAAAATTAACATTCTAATCTTAGCAAAAAGGACAAAGCATAACTCTGATGAACTGTTCAAACACTCATGAAGTTGCATAATATGGTTGTAAACACTACAGTCAAATAGATAGTCTATTCTCTAAATTCTCTCCTTGAAGTTCATTTCCTTAGGATTTTTGCCACCACAGCAGTTAGAGGATTGGGTTGCTTGTCATGTAAAGCACCCCTTGCACAGGTAGTTTCTTTGAAAGACTGTGAATAAAGGTTTGAGAAATCAAGCCTTCAATCCAAAGCTTATAAAGAAATCTGGAACCGAAAGAGTGTGAACGGTTAATGGGGATACAAAAGTGTAACAAATGCTGTGAATAAGAAGAATGAAAACCTGAAAGTGTCTTAGTTAAAACGCAAGATCAGAAAATCAATTCAAGCACTGGGTAGAAGCAAGACTAAAGGCTTTCAAAATATAAGTAATATAAACTGAATGCAGAAAAAGAGTAATAACTTCAACATTAGCATTTTTCATTGATGCTTGCTTTTTAAGATAAGTGCTAGAATAACAATTTTATAATAGACCAGACTTGAGAGAATAAAGACATACACCTGTGCTAAAGGGGGGGTTTAAATGAAGAGGAAATATGTTTGAATAATTTTGGCACTATAAACATATATTGGTAATGCTACAGTATTGGTGATATATTGATTCTATGATCTATTCAACACTCTTATAAAATTATAGGTAAGATCTACTGAAGGAAAACACAAGTCTTGTATTTACTATGTACTGGTTATATACAGTGAATCTGAGAACTTGTGAGATAAAAAAAAGAATTTGTAAAGCATTTCTGGATCAGGCACATCGCTGTTGAATACAAATAGCAAGTCTGGAGGATATTACTGAAGCCTCTGTCAAGTCTAAGTGGCTTTCATAATAAATAGAAATTCCATAATTCCAGACAACATGTAGCACATTCCTGGTGATAAACATATTTCCATAGTAGTTATTGTCTCAGGTCTTTTGTGTATAAAGTTTTAAAAATTTTCCATCTCAAGGTTGTTGCTATAACCTGTAGCATATGCTGGAGAAATGCAGTAAGTCTTGGTGGATTAGATACAATTTGCACATACTGTTTGTAAGGGTAAACGTAGCACCTTCTTGGTAACTGAAGCCAAAGGAAAAATTTCAGTATTTGCATGAATCTTGCTTATATAGAAGTTTTTGGACTTCCTGTTATGTGAATGTCCAGGAGTAATTTTATATCCTAAGACTTACAGGATATTCTCCTTGTCATGGCAGTGACAAAATTCTAACAAATGAAGGAGCTGATTTCATTTAAAAGTAGTTAGGTTGCTGTTGTTGCTGTTACGTGCCATCAAGTCAAAACCGACATAGCAATTCTAATAGGGTTTTCATGGTAGGTTAGGTATTTAAAGAGTGATTTTACCAGTGCCACCCCTCCCCTGTGAGTTTCCATGGCAGAGCCGGAGATTGGAACCCAGGTCCTCTGAGCCACGGTCCATTACTCTATCCACTACATCAAACTGGGTACCCTTGGCTGGCATCATATTTACAAACCAGTTAAAGTTGCACTTAGATTTGATTCTATTCCTATCAGCCTGCATTCTGTAAGAGAAATCTTGAGAAGACTACAAGGTGGGGTTATTTTAAGGTCACTAGATTTGATTTTGTTCTCCTTTAGTATATATACACCTAGGGATTTAAATTATCTACTTTATTTTTATTTCCTTTTGATTTGTGTGTATGTTCGTGTGTGTATATAGTAAGAAATACACTAATATGTTTTTAATTATGTATAGTAGACTTATATTAGGGAAATACCATTGCTCTTATGCATCACATACTGAAAGTCCCAGGTTCTGTGTCTGATATATTCAATGAAATCTCAGCAAGCATGATGGGGAAAGACAGTACCGTGTTAGTTAGGCCAGAGTTCTAATTTAATATAATGACAGTTCATATGTTTCCCTTTTATAAAGGGAGTATTATGTTTCAATTGGCAATTAGTTCAGCTCACTAAAGAAACAGTTTTTATATTTCATTAAGCAAACATGCCATATCAGGCATATTGTCACATAAATTCTGCAGTACTTGGAAAATGCATTTTTGTATTTACAACTTCTGTGTGTTTTAACATTTACAGCTGTAATATATTTTGTAGTAATAAGTTCCAGCATAAGCTTATCAATGTCTGCTTTTCTTAGAGCAATGGACCAATACTAAAATGATCTCATTTGCTGTCAAGTAGGCTTGTGAACTATTATGTGCTACATGGTTTTGAGTTGGGTAGGCCAGTCTCATAAGCCAATAGCAGAGAAACAACAGCTAAGAATTGTTGCTGGTATAGGGTTCTATCAAGTGCTGTCACTCTATTAGGAAAAAGCTTGTCCTGCCTGCAAAACCCGTCTTCATTCTTGTTCCAGTTTTAAATGCATTTATTTTTGCTTCCACAAATGCACAGGCAATTGGATAGCCTACTATATCTTAATTAAGCAAGGTGTTGCTTGTATTAATTGTGCTATGTATCCCACTAGCACTTGCAGAGCCACAGTAGTAATAATATGGCATACTGTATACTTTTTGTACTAGCTTAATGTTTGTGAAAATTCATTATGTGGAGCAGTAACTTCACCGTAGTTGAAAAATTAGGAGTAGAGAGATATGTTTTCACTTGCTTTTTTCAACCAGGTGAAATCTGATTTTTTTAAAACAATCTTTTCTCTACTAGGTGATGTTTACAAGAACTTTTGTGCTTTTGGGGATTTTGTCTTTTTTTCACATAAAGCTTATGTTTTGTACAAAACTTGCATGTTGTAACACATTTTGTGCAAAATGCAATTTTTTCTTTTTACTAATGCTGCGATTTACAGTATGTCCTGTTTCCCCCTCCCTAAGTGTTTACTCCTGTGCAGGACTGAAAATTTCACAACAGTTGTTAGTTTTTTTAACAGGTGTCTTATGGGTTGAGACATTCTTGTCAAGGATTAGAAAATATGAGTTTTTGTTATATACATAAATCAGGAGTGGGCTACAATGTTGCGGGCTGCTACTCATTCCCTTCTGTATCTTTTTTTTTTTTTGCTTTCCCCCTCTGGCATTAACTATACTTAAACACTGCAACATTGAAGACATTAGTAATGGTTAACACTGACTAGAATCTGAAGGTAATTAGCAAAACCTGATTAAGAGACGGTTGATGGTAGCCAGTATTAAAGTTGATGCACATAACTAAATAATTTCAGTTGCAATGTTTATGCAAGAAAATGTAACAGTTCAGTAGGGGCAATGTGCAATCCTACAATTTACTCCTAAACACCAGTTACCAAATAAACATCAAATTGGTTTTCAGTAATAAATTAATGTCGCAAGTGTTGAGTGTTTTGAACCCAGTCTGACTGGTACTCAGAGTTAAGCACACGTGGATATTTCTCTTGTGTATTGAATATATTTAAAAGGGTTTGTGGAATCATAGTAAAAGGTTCTGTATTCTACAAAAGTAAAGCCTAGGTATGTTTGGTAATTTAAAATGCTAATCTTTGAACTATCATTTCCAGAAATAAAGTCTGAATGTTCATTGCCTTCACATATAGATGAATTTGAAACATAGACCCTGTTAAACTGGCCCTACTTTTAGTTCAAATTTAAAATATTTAAAAACAATGATTATCCCCCGTTTCCCCAAAAGTAAGACCTAACCTGAAAATAAGCCCTAGTATGAGTTTTCAGGATGCTCATAATATAAGCCCTACCCCAAAAAAAGCCCTACATTGTGCAGCGACCAGATGACATGACTGTATTTGAATAAACATAGATTGTGGTACATGAAAAAAATAAATAAAACATCCCCCCAAAATAAGCCCTAGTGCATTTTTGGAGCCAAAATTTATATAAGACCCTGTCTTATTTTCGGGGAAACACAGATTTATTTTGTTCCAAAGAGTTCATAGAAATTAATGTTAGTAACGTTGCACCAGTAATTTGATTAGATCAGGTAATACCATGTGTTGAGTCACCAGAAATAATTATATTTGACTATTTTATTCAAATTTAGAAACAAACTATAGCTGAGAAACCTGTAAGAGACAGGTTGCATATGACATGAGTTCTTCAGATGGGAATTTTAAAATTTGTTCCCATTTTGTTTTAAAGGATTGCCAACTGCATTGATTTAACTTATTTGCCCTTGCATTCTTTCCTTAGTACCTTTACCAACAGTTAGAATGTGTTTATTATTGAATTGGAAACCTTAATTTACAGAAATTACATTGCTTCTTCCTTCAAAGATAGTCTGAGGAAGAGAGTCTGGACTCTCAGATGACTCATATGAGTCAAGAATTTAGGCCTTTTGCTTGAGAGTTAGTATAATGCTGAGTGAATAGAAATGTTAAATCGAAGAGTGTAATTTATGTAAAATATATTGGTCAAATAGTTATTAGGAAGAAAATGCAGTACTTCCTGTGTCTTTCATGAGGATTTAAAGCTTGATTGCTTATAAATGTAAATCCTCTGGTCAGTCTTCTGTTATACAGAGAAGTAAACATTTAGAAGTACAGTTTGTAAGGACTAGAACCATATGTTTTGGGTTCAGTTGCTGTTACCCTGTTTCCCCGAAAATAAGACAGGGTATTATATTAATTTTTGCTCCAAAAAAGACATTAGGGCTTATTTTCAGGGGATGTTTTATTTTTTTCATATACAACAATCTACATTTATTCAAGTACAGTCTGTCATCTTCTTCTGGTCGCTGCACAATGGTGCAGGGCGGGATTTTACCTAACTGGGGCTTATTTTGGGGGTAGGGCTTATATTATGAGCATCCTGAAAAATCATACCAGGGCTTATTTTCAGGTTAGGTCTTATTTTAAGGGAAACAAGGTATATATGTGCACTCTATGATACAAAACCTTACCCGTGCATGAAATTTCAATGTTACTCTGTTTCTTCTGCATGGAAAAACCTGGATGCATGTACCTGAAATTCTCCGTGATACATTTTGAAGTTTTCTTTTCTCTTAAAAGACAGGTGCAGCTCCCATATCACAGACCTAGCTTGTAAATGTGTATATTTAGGAAAACACACTGTTTACTTGTTTTCACACATACCTCAATCTTGCTAATCAATTAGAGAAAACAAAACACTTAAATGGAAATCATCCCATTAATTTAGGAATGGCCCCATGTGATTTTGGCGCATAAAATACATGATAAGTCTCACTAAGATTTTTGGAATAATATAATGTAGAGTTTATGGCTAGATTCCAGGGTTTGTGCATGAAAATGTCACGTACATACTCAATGTGAGCTTTCCATTTCTATCTGAGAAGTCAACATAGAATGTCAAGGAAACTTGCACATGTCAAAGATGCTTGTTTTAAGTTTTTTTAAAAAATATATAATCAGAGTTTTTCTGCCTTTTATTTAAATATTAGAATGCAGCCCCTAGACTGTGGCATCAGTACAGTGGTGCCTCGCTTAACGATTACCTCATTAAACAACAAATCCGCTTTATGATGAAGTTTTTGCGATCGCTATTGTGATCGCAAAACGATGTTCCTATGGGGAAAATTTGCTTGACGATGATCAGTTCCCTGCTTCGGGAACCGATTTTTCGCTAGACGACGATCCTAAAACAGCTGGTCAGCGGCTTTAAAAATGGCTGCCCGCTGGGCAGAATGGCTCCCCGCTGTTTTTAGCATGGATTCCTCATTTTACAGGCAACAGAAAATGGCCGCCCTATGGTGGGTATTTCGCCCATTGGAACGCATTTAACGGTTTTAATGCATTTCAATGGATTTTTAAAATTCGCTTGATGGCGATTTGAACCGAACAGATTATCGTCGTCAAGCGGGGCACCACTGTATTCGCCTGATGACGATTTCGCTTAACAGCGATTTGAACCGAACAGATTATCATCGTCAAGCGAGGCACCACTGTAGTAACATTCTATTGAACCTTATTGAATTTGCATAAAGCATTACATAGAAAATAACACAGTTGTTTTTCTACGTGTCTTTCTTGCTTTAGCATGTTGGAAGTGATTCACATACATTTTCTAATAATTGTTGACAAAGGCAACAAATTATTATTATCCCCATATTGCAGATAGGATTGAATTGAAGAGATAAGTCTATCTACTTAGTTCATGGCAAAGGTGAGATTCAAACCAAGTGTGGTCAATCCCCACCAGTACCCCCTTCTGCAACGCAGTGAGGCTGGGGTCCCCCAGGAATAACTTCATGGGCTCCAGCTCTGCTTCTTGGCTCAGAACAGTGTTATTTCCCCCTGCCTTCCCCGTCCAGTCTCATGAGGCTGAATTATAGTCTTCTTGGGTGCCACTTGCCAACTTGGGAACCCAGTTAACATAACTGGAGTTCCCTAGGCTTCAGGTTCTGGAAACCAGGAAATATGGGATAATTTATGTCTGGGAAGCATCCCTTTTAGGGAAGGCTTGTACAAATGGGCAAAGGAGGTCAGGCTCTGCAGTTCTTCTCTACCCATCTCCACCTTTGGCATGTCTGTCACGTGTTTTTCCAGGACTATGGCCATGTCTAGGCTAATGTAGCCTTTGCCAAGCTCATGGCTGGAGTCTCTGGTCTTTGACTCCCATCATATTAAACCAGGTGAGGACAGACAGCTGTCAGCATTCCCCTCTGGTGCATCCTCCCACATGTCACCTCCTCCAGAGATAGGCAAGGGCCCCATCCCTTCCCAGTCTTGCTCTTTTATTCTCCTTGACCTGTCCTTCTCCAGCTGTTTTTCATCAGGCAACTCTCTGTTCTTCAGCTGCATCAACCTAATCCTGAGGAAACATACCCTCCTTCCAGCTGCCTGATACTTTTGCACTGGGGCCTCACACTGTCCTTATGCTATACCATAGCTACATTTCAGTTTGCTTTTGCTGAGATTTGCATCCGATTGACCATGATTCTCTGCATTATGTTGGAGACAGCAGAGATTCAGGTCCAAGTGTTCACTGAGCCGTGAAACTTGCTGGGTTACCTTGAGCCATTCATTGGATCCTTGCTTGACTTATCTCACAAGGATGTTGAGGTGGTAAAATATGAAGGATGGTGGATAAATATACACTGTGTTTGCGAGAGCGTGCTATACATAGATATAGATATAATTCATGGTAATGATTAAAAATCATCACAAATTTGGGTTTTCTTATTTTAAAAGTAAAAGTTTTAAAGCTTTATTTAACAACTAAAGGTTATTATGAGGCATGCTTTTATCATTTTACATGCTAAAGCATCCTAATATAGACAACTGTGTTTTGCATTTTAGTGGGAAGAAATCAGTGGACTGGATGAAAACTACACGCCTATACGAACATACCAGGTATGCCAAGTCATGGAACCAAACCAAAATAACTGGCTTCGGACTAACTGGATCGCAAAAGGCAATGCACAAAGGATTTTTGTAGAACTAAAATTTACTCTAAGGGATTGTAATAGTCTTCCTGGAGTCCTGGGGACATGTAAAGAAACTTTCAACTTGCATTATTATGAAACAGACTATGACACTGGCAGGAGTATCAGAGAAAACCTGTATGTAAAAATAGATACTATTGCAGCTGATGAAAGCTTTACCCAAGGTGACCTTGGGGAGAGAAAAATGAAACTTAATACAGAGGTAAGAGAGATTGGACCTCTGTCCAAAAAAGGATTCTACCTTGCATTTCAGGATGTAGGTGCCTGCATTGCTTTGGTTTCTGTCAAAGTATACTACAAGAAGTGCTGGTCCATTATTGAGAACTTAGCTATTTTTCCAGATACAGTGACTGGGTCAGAGTTCTCCTCCTTAGTTGAGGTCCGAGGAACTTGTGTCAGCAGTGCGGAAGAAGAGGCGGAGAATTCTCCCAGAATGCACTGTAGTGCAGAGGGAGAATGGTTAGTACCTATTGGGAAGTGTATCTGCAAAGCTGGTTTCCAACAAAAAGGGGACACGTGTGAACGTAAGTAAGAAAGCATACTTTTTACTTTCTATTTGAATATTTTATTACACGTTCTCAATTATAAAAAAATGCTTTTTGAATGAAAAGGTTGTATTGTTAAGTTCAAGTAACAAGAGCATAGAAATTGTAGGCTAGAGGCTTCACTCTAGCTAGTGTAAATCTGTTGCGGGGGTGGCAGTCAACAATTGGATGTCACATTTTGAAAGGCTGTTAAACTAACTATGCAGTGCACAATTTATTTAACCAATGACATCACTTCCACAGTGTCAAATGCAGTTATGCAATGATATCTTCCAAGCAAGAGGGCAAAGAAAATGTTCATTACTTAATAGTTTTTCCTACTACCTGTAACGAAATCATGTTTTGTAAAGAAGATGCTGTTAACAGTCATGGTTGTGAAAACTACTTACTACTTATTCTACAGCCTCTACAAAATCAGGAATAAAATGCAATTGTGATGAACAGTTCAAAGGTATTTTGGGATTCAGCACTTTCTAGGTGTTTGGGAATTTGGAAAAGGAAGAAGCAGAAAGGAGAAGCTGTTATTTTAAAAAGGCCTCACATACATGATTTCACCTGCAGTAAGATTTGGAACTTTTATCTGCAAAAGGACTAGAGGGCTTATTTAACAGATAGGTTTACAGAAAGCATCACATCATACTGTACTTTCTTTCTGAATTATTGCACAGATTTTGTATTGTGGTTTAAGTTACATTGACTGTAGCTCTTTGCAGGACTGAATAAAAACTTCTCAGTGTTGATGAGAAGGAGTGTTTTGGTTCTGGCAGAAATAGTAAACAACCACATGATGAAAGATGGAAGGCTTTGACTTTTTAAAAGTTGAATTTGGGTGATCAAAGAGGTTTTCAATAATAATAGTGACAGTAATAGTAATATTTTTTTGTCAGGAAGAGTGATAAAGTAATGAAAGAAAAATGTGCTTGATCAATAGAATTCAAGTAAATTGTTTAAGAAACAGACATCTTAATTTGAGACTTCATTGTTGTTGACAGAGACATTAAATGATAACTTAGACTTTAGCATTTCTTCTTTGTTCATTTTGCAAAAATGCTTCTCATTTCTGGCCTGCTGCCAAAAGAACTGCTAACAGAATATGCTATATTGGAAGTGGCCCAGGTTTCATTTTATAGGTTTTTATTTTTTAAAAAAATCTTTCCCTACCTCTTCTTTTAGAAATGGACATGCTAGAAGTTTCAGAATAAAATTTTATTTGTTACTGCAGTTAATTTTAAGAAGTCTAAAGGACAATAGATAGGCAGGCAGGTGGATATTAATAACACAACACTCTTTGTTTGTGGAAGAACACGCTTTTAGTAAGTTGCTCCAGTCATCTACTAGTTAGGATTTCTGCTTTGAAGCCATTATCAACAGCATTTGCCTTACAATAAAATGGGAAGGATTATATGTTTCTTTTGAGAGAAAATCAACAGTGTGACATTAATACAATTGACTGTTTTGTAACTCTCAAGATGTGTTCCATATGGGACAGAAATCAGATTGATATGTGATTCTCCTTACCCTGTGATGTCAGCTGATTGGGTGGTTTGCATCCTGGAAACACTTCGTTTGTCCTGCATGAGTGTTAATTCATGGGCTGTATTTGTAAATGAATAACTACATGAATATTGCACTGCAGTCCAGACTCTGGCACCGTAATACTACCTTAAGCAGAGTACACTGCTTGTGTATCCATGGTGGAAAAGAAGAGGCATCTCGGATGCCTATGGAGAGCTGATAAACAGGCCATGAGCATAATAGCATAGTCCCACTTGTATTCCCTCAGCAAATGGCGTTGAGGTGTACTTTCTTTGATACTAGAAACAGCATATAGGTATCATGAATAATAGGCATCAGTAATTTTATTCTCCATGGCAGTTTTTCAGACTTATTCAAAGCTATATGTTCTACTTGCAGTTTTCAGATAACATTACAGTAGCATCCTATGGTTGCTCTCATGGACTTACTTGTTAGGGATATGTTCCACATACTGAAATGTACTAGGAGCAGATATGCATTGGATTGTGTCATAAAAGCAAAAGCCAGAATTGGAGTGGATGGTGAGTGGTAGCCATAATTATCTCCACCCTATTTGAGGATTTAGTTCAGTAGATAACTAAAGTTAAATTAATGTTTCAGTGAATGCTACGAATGTGCTATTCTTATTCTTTAACTCCGAATCCCAGGATACTCCATTCTGAGAGTGCCACCTGCCAAATGCACACCTAAATTATGTCACCTGAACAGAGGCTGGGTAGGTATGCGTCATGGCCTAGAAGAGGCTGACTTCTAGCTTTGGTGCCCTTTAGCAAACATTGGCCTTTTGTCTTCCAGTCCATTCTTTCTCCAGTTAAGCACAATGTACGCATAAGTCTGGCAGGTGGAATTCTCAGAATGGAGAATTCTGGGATTTGAATTGAAAGAAGTCATATGTCTGTTGAAAACTGAATTCAAAACTTAGGGTAGAGAGGTAAAACACTGTATTAAGTGATTAAGACTGAGCAGGATAAATGTCTCTCCATGTTCTGCAGGAGTTAGCTTACTTGTGCAAATGTACTCACACTCTAAATTAGCCATTCTCAACCTTTTTTGGCCATGGCCATAATTGCCATAAACACAATATGCAAGAAATATAGGACACATCAGGATTGTATAAGTTGCATAAGAAAACCTTGTAAGGTGATGTGTGCAGAATTTTTTCAAGTCTGGGGCCCCTTCAGGTGTTCCAGGGCCCCCCAGGGGGCTTATGGCTGCTCTGAAACAGTCTTTGTCAGCCATAGTCTGAATCCTTTCCATGTATGTAGCTTCTTGACTACCTTCTGGTGATATTCTTGAAGCCCCATCCTTGCTGATATAGAGAGGAAGAGAGGAATAGGGGTTTAAAGAATTTAGGAGGTGGTAGAGGCAGAAATGTTTGTCGACTACTAATGACAGCTGGTGAGAAATTTGGAAAAAAGTGACAACCACAAGCACTACTCCCCATCTCACCTTATTCATGTCTTCAGTATAAGCAACACCTCTCTCTCTTTTTGGGAAAAAAAAAGACATTTGTTTACTTGCCATGGAAGTACCAACAGTACTCTTTCCATTTTAGCAAAATAAAAGAGAGCAGTTTTGTGCAAGTGAGATGGGAACATAAGCTGGGTGGTATCTAAGGCTCCTGATGTCAACAGTTTTGTTGTTAACTTATTATTTAGTTGTAAATTAATTTATTAGAACAAAATATATGTGCACATTTATCAATATAGATCCCTTTTGGATCCATGCATGTACCCTGTTGTACAGTGAATAAACTATTAGAGTCTCAGAGGAACACCCCAAGAGAGAACATTCTCATTAGTAAAATTCTCATTGTGGTGTGCACTACATGTTTTGTAGGCAAACTATAATCAGGTTAACATAATGATTTTTTTTTTTTGGTAGGCAAGGAACTAAGTAGTGCTGATATAATTCATATACCACATGTTCTGCATTTTTAAAGGAAATGAACTCCATTTGCTCACTCCCAGCTATATAATATTTCATGTGCTAGGAAGCCCTTCTCAGTATGCATGAAATATATATGAAAATTAATTTGGCATTGTGTCTGAAAATTCAGACAATTTAGACATCCAGGACAAGCAAAACTGACCTACTTTTCTATTCAGCTGCTTCGTAATATCCTAGAATAGTCATCCAAACATTTGGAAAAGAGTTGCAGGTGTTAATGCACCATGAGCTGATGTGTTACACAGGATTCATTTGCTTAACAACGCAAAGGGCAGTTTTATACTCTAGGGTTTTGAATGACAGCTACAGAACCTATTTTGAAAAAAATGACATAATGGCTGAAATCGAGTAAGACGTTGCAGCTAGAGTATGCTGATTGAATCATTGGGATTCATCAGTATCTAGGTAAGTTCCATTGATTTAGTGGGCATACGGTAATAGATTTCAGTGGTAATCATGGAACTTCAGTGTGTTGACAGCAGTAGATGGTAGGCTGCATGGAATGAGGCCACCTGCAAAGTTCTCCTTCAGTTGCGTCTCCTCATCCTGCTTATAGATAGCTCTGTGCATGGAATGGTAAAACCAACAGTGTTTCCAATTGTATTTGCTGACACAATGGAGGCCACCTGCAAAGTTCTCCTTCAGCTGCGTCTCCTCATCCTGCTTGTGCATGGAATGGTAAAAACAAGAGTGTTTCCAATTGTATTTGCTGACACAATGTTCCTATATGGAGCACTTTTCAGGCCGCAGAAGAAGGTTTGCATCTCCACCCAAAAGTTCTGCTTCTCTGAAGGCCTCCAAGATTAGATCTATCAGTATTCCGGCCTGTTGGGACATTCTTCTGTCCTTGCCCCCTTGTTTTCATTGAGGGACAGTTTTAAAAAAATACAGATCCACTAAGTAGCAAAGTCTGGCAAAACTGTCCTCCCATCTGGCATGAGTAGGTAGGGCTATCCAAGTAGAGTCAGTCCACCCTCTTGGTGCCACTCAAGGTTGTTTTCTACTGTAAATCACAAAAGTCATTGAATTTAAAGTGACCTAGGAGAAGTGTAGATTAATTTTTAGATTTCTGACTGTTGTAGATATTAGGGTTTAAAAGGGAACCATTAAATATTATAGACAAATAATAATTAATTTATGTTGTCTATGCTATATTGGCAATATTAAGTAGACAAATTGCATTTGTTGGGATAACATCTTTGTGCATCTCTGCATATAGCTTGTTTTAGAGGTGGACTAGTAAACATTATCACTCACTGAATTGTTCATTATTGTAGTTTTAGTCTATCAGAACATGAGGAGGCACTTCTACAAGGAAATTTAAAGCTTGGGAAGATTCCTCATCTACAGCCAGGAGCAAGACAAAGAGGTCTTTCTTCTCTCCAGGGTCTCTAATGGTTGCAAAATGTTGAACATGCTTTCCTCTGTAAGCACATACAGTATAGCTTGCCACAGTGGAAAAATGAAAACAGTGCATGTGGTACTTCAGAATC